TTTTATTTTTCCAAAGGTATGGAAAAAACCGTTACTCACTTTCTCATAACTGTTGTTCTTCGAAATGTGTTGTTCATGTCCATTCCAATACCCATCCTCCTTCCATTCTGTCAGAGTAGCCGGCAAGAAGGAACTGAGGGGGTGGAGGGTCGGTGGGGCCCTATATTCTGCGCCATGAAGGTACCACTCCAGGGGGCGCCCAGGCCAACCTATGGATGTTGCTAGGGGAAAACCTTCCAGCTGGCGTGCACACTGTGCGCACACACCTGCTTGGAATGGACATGAACAACACATCTCGAAGAACAACAGTTACGAGAAAGTGAGTAACGGTTTTTTCCATACCTTTGGAAAAATAAAAGAGTTATTATGTTCTATGCTAAATTTCTCTGTGTTCAATCCTTTTCTGTTCAATTCCTTATTCTAATTTCTTTTTGGCTGTTTGTCTTTTTAAAAAACATTATTTACCATTATTCAGTCTTTAAAATCTAATTTTTTGAAAAATACCATCTATATAATAATTTCTTGGTTGATACTTCAACTCTGAGTTATGATAAAGGTCCAGATATCATAATTATGTAGATATTGGAAAGGTCAAATGAATCTGAACTTGGTTAATGTTGTTTGAATTACTATGTTTTAATGTTATAGGAACCCATGTGAATGAAGATGATTTTTTATTGTTGGAGCTCTTGCAGTGGTTTAAGGGTGAATTTTTCCAATGGGTGAATAGCCTTCCTTGCAGCAAGTGTGGTGGTCAGACAGAATCTAAAGGTATCTTATCACCTAATGATGAAGATCTGAGATGGAATGCAAACAGAGTTGAAAATCATCACTGTAACCAGTGCCAGTTCAGCAATAGATTCCCAAGGTAAGCACATAACCTTGGATTTTCTAAAATGCTACTTTGTATTTGTGTATTTTGTAAATTATTGGGAGGTTGTTGCTTGTATTTTGTTTTACATAGATTGAAAACCCTACTATAATACATACATAGATCATTTTAAGCAGTACCATGGGGTTGTTGTGGACTCTGATATTTATATTTTATCACCAATCAGCCTAGAATGCTTAATTTAAAAAAAATATATTGCATTTAAAAAGAGGGCCCTGTTTTTATACTAAATATTTGACTAATCTGACCAAGTGTATTTTCTGTATATAATGATTTTAATTAATAAATGCCATTATCAAAGTGGTTTTTAAAAAGAAAGAAAGAAACCATTGCACTTTGTTTGGGAGCCCACAAAAGAGGGCATACTTCTGCTGACTGTAGCACTAGATATGTACTAATTTCAGAATTGTGCTGACTGTCAATAAGGTTAGGATACAAAAATCCTACTTACGTTGATTTTTTTTTAAATAAGAACAGTCATGTAAATTTTAGCTCTTTTCCTTACCTTGTCAAATCTTTTTTTTTAAACTTTTCCTTTATTTCTAGTAGTTTACATTTAACACAGTACTGTACTGTATTTTCTTTTTCTTTTTGTTTCTGCTGCTGTCTGATTGCATACTTCCAGTTCCAAATGAGGTGTGTGGTTTACCAGTCAGTTGGTAACTCTCGTGTACATAACTCTGAGGTTCTACTGTTTAATGGTTCAGAGATTTAGAAGGGGGAAATATATATTCCTGTTAAAGTCCATTAACATGTACAAAGCACATAATTTACAATGAATAAAGTTTAATTTTTCTAGGTATAATAATCCTGAGAAACTTCTGGAAACAAGATGTGGGCGTTGTGGAGAGTGGGCTAACTGTTTTACACTGTGCTGCAGAGCTATAGGATTTGAAGCTAGATATGTCTGGGATTCAACAGGTATCAGTGCTCTAGAACACCTTAAACTTAGTATAAGCATGCATAAAAATGGGATTTACAACCATTAGATGTGTGTTTTCATGTTAGCTAACTGGTAACCTCTGAAGTTTCACAGTACTTTATGAATAAAATCTAGGTTAAATTTCCATCTTGTCTGATTACATGAAATATTCTACAAATGAAGTTAGACTGCTGTTTTCAGCATGATGAAATCTTTATATCTTACATTACATATTACATTCAGGTTCTCCTACTTTCAATAAAAATAAGCAGAATTCATTATTTTTGCTTTCACATTTAAAAGGAGATGTTTCTGAAGGAATATGAACAGAAAATGCATTCTTCCCTCTTCACAGTTCCATGTTATTACTCCTGGGGGAATTCTGTGCCACTGTGTGTGCGCAGAATTCATACCCCCCGCAGATTTCTTTGCTTCCCTGCAGAAAAATGACTCTGACAGGGAAGCAAAAGGAAGCTGCAAGAGCAGTCACGCACCACTCCCTAGCTACGCAGGTACATTGTTTCATGCACCCAGAGCAGCAGCGGAGAGGTAAATCACCGCAGGGCTGGGACACCCCAGCCAGTGGCTCCTATCCTGAGTTGCTGGGGCTGTGTCAGACTCAATCCTGGGGCTGTGTCAGACTCACCCCCAGGATTCTCCCCCAGTTGCAGGAAGCTCAGCATTCTCCCCTGCTTCCTGCCCCCATTGCTCAGCTGCAGTGGAGGGGTCATTGTACAGGGAGCTGCTCCCCCATCTGCCCAACTCCCGTGCATCCGACTCTCCCATACCCAGACACCCCCCACCAGGCCTCACCTCATACACCCAGACCCTCTGCCTTCGAACCCCCACCGCTGTACCCAGACCACCCCTAACTGAGCTCCCTGCACTTAAACGTCCACCCTGAAGAGCCCCACCCCCTGTACCCCGACATCCAGACCCCCATGCAACTGACCCCCACCACAACAAGCCCCACTTCCCCAGCACCCAGACCCCCCTGATGAGACCCCCACACCCAGACCCCTTTGCTGAACCTCAACCACTTTCACCGGAAGCCCCTGCAGAGTCCTATTGCCATGGCATCTGGAACCACCCCCCCCTCCCCTCCCCATGAGACTCTGTGCATCCAGATCCCCTCCACACCTAGATCCCCCATTGAGCTGCCTACACCCAGATTGTCCCACACAAAATCCTCTCACCCCACTCCTGTATCCCCCCACACTGAGCCCCTCCACACTTAGATCCTGCCTGGTTGAGCCTGCCTGCCCCAAGCCTGGTGTGCCTCATGCAGGGAGGCAGTGCCCCAGGGTGTTTCTGGGGCAGGCCCAGGCCTTATGCTGTGTCAGGGTCGGATGCAGCCTCACCCCTAAGTGCATGTCCCCAGGATAGGGAGCGGGGAGGCTGCAGAGTGATCTCCCAACCTTTGTGCAGCCAATGGCCTGTGCTCCCCACTGCCATTCTGGAGCCTCTGCATTTATTTATTGACAAATAAAACTTGCAGAATTTTAAAATATTGTGCACAGAACTTTTAATTTTTTTTTATGCAGAATTTAATGTTTTGGCACAGAATGCCCTCAAGAGTAATGTTATGCTCCCCATTTAATTGATTTGGAAGAGTTTAAATATCTCAAACTGTAAGAATAGAAAACCCATCTAAAACATTCAGAGTTTTCCTCGGCCTGTCTCTCATGCAGATCATGTGTGGACTGAGGTATATTCTTCATCCCAGCAGAGATGGCTTCATTGTGACCCTTGTGAAAATGTCTGTGATAAACCTCTTCTCTATGAGATTGGCTGGGGAAAGAAGCTCTCCTATGTAATTGCATTCTCCAAGGATGAGGTAGGGGTAGGGATAATAATATGCTATGAAATAAAAATACAAATTTGCCTTGAGAAAGAAGCTGTGCATCATATACCATTTTAATGGGATCTGCTAGATCAGGGGTGGGCAAACTACGGCCCGCAGGCAGCGTGGCTGTAGCACCGCCAGCCACCGGTGCTCTAGGCAGCGTGGTAAGGGGACACGGAGCGGGGGGGGGGGGTTTGATAGCGGGCAAGGGAGTTTTGGGGGGGTGGATAGGGGGTCGGGGGGGGGAATAGGGGGTTGAATGGGGGCAGAAGTCCCAGGGGGGCCAGTCAGGAAGGAGGGGGGAATGGATGGGGCGGCAGGGGGCAGTCAGGGGCAGGGGTTCCGGGGGCAGTCAGGGGACAGGAAGAAAGGGTGGTTGGATGGGGCAGGGGTACTGGGGGGACCGTCAGGAATGAGAGGAGGGGTTGGATGGGGCAGCGAGGGTCCGGAGGTGGTGAGGGGACAGGGAGCGGGGGAGTGTGGATGGGGCAGGAGTCCCGCAGCGGGCAGATAGGAGGTGAGGGCCGGGCCACGACCCCCTCCCCAACCAGCCCTCCATACAATTTCCGAAACCCGATGCAGCCCTCAGGCCAAAAAGTTTGCCCGCCCCTGTACTAGATTATTGTAAGGGAAGACAGTCTCTTGATCACATTGTCTATTTAAAATACACACATTTAAGAGGCAGAGTTTATATGTATTTTTTTAACTTCTGCAACTTATACTTGAGGTTGTTGATGTCACCTGGAGATATTCCTGTAAACACGAAGAATTACTTTCTAGAAGGACACAGGTCAAAGAAGCAGCTTTGCGTGAAACCATAGAGAGGCTTAATAAACTGGTACGTAGCTTTACCTCAACTGATTTGTTAAAATGACATGTATTGGAAACAGACTATGTAAATTCTTTGGACAAGGGAGCCCAGTCCTGATAAAGGTCTCTGTGTACTACAAAGAATTTAAATGTTGCTATTTATACGTTCTTTGATTTTACATAAGACCACTTCAGGACCAGTCACAATATAGCAGTTTTGTCAGTTGAGAATTCTTAAAGTGTAGTTCTCCTCTGTGAAGTAACTGTAAAAGTGTCACCTACTTATACCAGTCTGTTCTTTGCATAGTCAGTCATATTTCCTTACTTTGATTGGGGAAAAGGAAATTATTACCTTTTACTCCTGTTGGCTCTGCAGGGAAAGTGAGCTGGATTCTATTCTCTCTCGTGCATCAACAGATATGTCAAATAAATTTAATCAATTATACCTGTGCAAACAGTTGAGTTGCACAACTTCAATGAGACCATAATTTTAAGACAATAAGGTTGTATAGCTGTAAGAAAGGGCCTAATTCACTTTGCAGAACTTTTTTTTACTGACTGTGAGAGAAGAACTCAGCCTGACTCAACTCTCAGGCTGCTTGCAGGACTGTCTGTGAAGAAATAAGAAGTGTTACATGTCATCTTAGCATATTTGACATGGAAATAATTGAAACAAAAATAGACTCTCAGTCCAATGCATCTTAAAGTCACTTTCTCAAGAAAACCCAGTCTTTTTAATCATATGGTAAAAGTATGTTATATAATAATTCTTGTTCTACATACCAGACTTCTTTAGGCTCACTTGATTTATCTTGAAATGTAATGGTATGATTTTACTCAATTCTATTGCTTCTTAAAAATATGCAACTCATACTGCATTTGTAATGACATTCATCAATGTGAATCTACTCTTTCAGGCATGATATGATTTTTATGCTTAGACCAAACCAGGACTTCTGGTAACCAGAACAGTCCATGATGTAGAAGATATGATTATTGGGTCAAGCCTGTTTTTTTCCTATTCCCAGACAAAAAAATACATTAAGATTGAGAGTACATATCAGTAATTTAGAATAAAATACATTACAAGGATGTTTTAATGATGCAAAAACATGCATTATAATACCATGAAATTCAATTAGAGTTTACTTTAAAAGAAATCCAAACAGATTAAGGTGTGGACATATGCAGTTAGGGCACTCAAACTTTTTTTAAAGTCACTGCATGATGCCATGCAGTACCTATACAATTAGGATTGAGGCATATTAATGCATGTGATCCCAGTTTAGTGTTTTAACAATCAGTTTAAATCTAGATTCTTTCATGTTTACTTCTGCATGGTATCATTCTAGGACTGAGATACACTTGGAACTAATCTGAAAGATTATTTTTTCTTTGAGGTTTTTTGCACTTTTTTTTAATTATTACAGAGACAACAATCCTTGTCAGAAAGCAGAAAGAGAGTGCTCCTGGAGAGGATAATTGTGGAGCTTGTTGAGTTCATTTCTCCCAAAACTCCTAAACCTGGTGAACTTGGTGGAAGGATATCTGGTTCAATGGCTTGGAGAGTAGCCAGAGATGAAATTGGTTCAGAGGTATTTAATTTGTGAACTGGTGATCATTTTAGGTGTGTCTAAATTGTTTGTCTCTTAATTATAGGCTCATGACTGACATTCTTTTGATTAAAGCTACAACATAACAAAAGCAGGAAATTTAAGAAAACTGAAATTAAGATGTTTGGGAAATCAACACATTAGGTTGATGACAATTGCCTCAAGAATTCTGGGGAATCTAATTAAGCTTGAGAGCAGTTTTCTACCTGTGTCTGTGTGTGTAAAATGTAAATCAGGGCCCATTGTTAATGTGTAACTGCAACTCCCACAAAATGAGATTAATTAATGTTTACATAATCCCCCCTAACCTCAAGGTTCTTGGCTAAATGGAGTTTTTTTATGTTCTTAATTCCTTATGTGGAGAGACAGAATTTCCTAAAAACAATCCCTCTAGATAGGCCAGTACGCAAAGGTATCAATTATTCCTGCCATTTTGCACATCCTTTTCTGAGTGATCTTGTCATTTGATGTAAAAAGGATGACAATCTAAATACCGAATTAGAGCTAGTTAAGTGGAACTAATGGATTTCATAGCAATGCTCAGATTTGAGATACTAGTGTTTATTTCAACTATACATACTTTAGGGGACTTTATTTCTGTCTACTGAATCTCATGATATGAAGGATGATTAAAAATCTATTTTTAAGTGCATATACTTCATTTTCCCTTGTTTTCTAATTATCTTTATGAAATTCACACTTAACCTTAATTTTGAAAGCCCACCTTTATTTTTGTTTCCCTGTCAGATTTAGAAAGGCATTGTTCTGTAAATTGCTATAGTTAGCTGCAACTTTCAGCATTAGTCATTGAGCTATGCTTGCTCTCTTAATATAGCTTAATAATTTGCTTTTTTGTCAGTCTGTTAAATCTGATTAACACACCTAATTCCTGCAGCCCCCTGTCATAAACGAGCATGAAAATTCTTTTGTAAACAACTATTTACTGTAGACAGATTCATGGTATTATTTATTATTTATTTTAAAATAAATTACTTCCCCTTTCTCTGTGGAAGATTTATATTTATTCTAGCAAAGTAATGTAAAATTTCTAAGGTGGGGCAAACATTTTTCAATGGCAAAAAAAAATTCTAGTATTTTTAGATTGGCTGCTGTAGAGTTTTTCATAAAGAACTGTGAACCTCTTTGATATACTGCTTATATAATAGATAACGGCATGGTGATCTACTTTATCAAATATATATATTTGCCAGATGTTTATGCTAAACAAAAAGCAAAAATAAAATTAGCATGATCCCTTCAAATATATTGCAAAACACCAATGTATAGTTTTTGGTTTTGTTCAGATGAGAAAAGAAGTCATTTTTATTCCATCTGGGAAAGAGAAGACGTCTAAACTCTTCCACCTCAGTTACAATATAGTGGAAGATAGCTATACACGAGTTTCCAATAATAATGAAAAAATCACTGGCTGGGAGAAAGGTGTGTGGAAGACGGAGTCTCTATGGAGAAAGGTTGAAACGGATTGGAAAATGGTAAGGATTGCAATTAAAGAAATTTCTGTAGAATTTTCTAGATTATTAATAGTCCCAATAAAGTCTAATATTACTAAGCATATTTTGCATCAAATTTCTCTTAATGCTTAAGGATTCAGTTGGAGTTTCCAGATTTTACTGTCCCGCTTCAGATAAGATTGTTAACTGATATGAGAAATTGGAAATAAAGTCAGCTTGCCTTTCAGAATGGGATGACTGACTTCTCTACAGATAACAAGAACCCTGCTGGAACACTAAAGTTTATGGCCTCTCTTCCCCCTGTAAAAAGCAACAAAGAGTCCTGTGGCATCTTATAGACTAACAGATGTATTGGGGCATAAGCTTTTGTGGGTGAATACCCACTTCGTCAGATGCATGTAGTGGAAATTTCCAGAGGCAGGTATAAATATGCAGGCAAGAATCAGTTTAGAGATAACTAGATTAGTTCAGTCAGGGAGGATGATGCCCTCTTCTAGCAGTTGAGGTGTGAACACCAAGGGAGGAGAAACTGCTTTTGTAGTTGTCTAGCCACTCACAGTCTTTGTTTAATTCTGATCTGATGGTGTCAAATTTGCAAATGAACTGAAGCTCAGCAGTTTCTCTCTTTGAAGTCTGTCCTTTGAAGTTTTTTTGCTGTAGGATGCCTACCTTTAAAGCCTGGACCAATCTATATGGGAGGTCCACTTCCTAGACACCACGGTACAAATAAGTGACTGTCACGTTAACACCACCCTATACCAAAAACCCACCGACCGCTATGCCTACCTTAATGCCTCCAGCTTCCATCCCGGACATATCACACGATCCATCGTCTACAGCCAAGTGCTGAGATACAACTGCATTTGCTCCAACCCCTCAGACAGAGACCAACACCTACAAGAGCTTCACCAAGCATTCTCAAAACTACGATACCCGCACGAGGAAATAAGGAAACAAATCAACAGAGCCAGACGTAAGCCTCCTGCTACAAGACAAGCCCAAGAAAGAAACCAACAGAACTCCACTGGCCATCACCTACAGTCCTCAGCTTAAACCTCTCCAACTCATCATCAGTGATCTACAACCCATCCTGGACAATGATCCCTCACTTTCACAGACCTTGGGAGGCAGGCCAGTCCTCGCCCACAGACAACCCGCCAATCTTAAGCATATTCTCACCAGCAACCACACACCGCACCATAGTAACTCTAACTCAGGAACCAATCCATGCACACCATCATAGGACCTAACCAGATCAGCTACAACATCACGGGTTCATTCACCTGCACATCCACCAATGTTATATACGCCATCATGTGCCAGCAATGCCCCTCTGCTATGTACATCGGCCAAACTGGACAGTCCCTACGTAAAAGGATAAATGGACACAAGTCAGATATTAGGAATGGCAATATACAAAAACCTGTAGAACACTTCAACCTCCCTGGACACACAATAGCAGATTTAAAGGTAGCCATCTTACAGTAAAAAACTTCAAAGGACCAGACTTTAAAGAGAAACTGCTGAGCTTCAGTTCATTTTCAAATTTGACACCATCAGATCAGGATTAAACAAAGACTGTGAATGGCTAGCCAACTACAAAAGCAGTTTCTCCTCCCTTGGTGTTCATACCTCAACTGCTAGAAGAGGGCATCATCCTCCCTGATTGAACTAACCTCGTTATCTCTAGACTGAGTTTTGCCTGCATATTTATACCTGCCTCTGGACATTTCATTACATGCGTCTGACGAAGTGGGTATTCACCCACGAAAGCTTATGCTCCAATACATCTGTTAGTCTATATGGTGCCACAGGACTCTTTGTTGCTTTTTACAGATACAGACTAACACGGCTACCCCTCTGATACCCTTCCCCCTGTGTTTACATGGACACACACAATACTGCATGTATTAATAAGGAATACTTCTTTTCAAAGCGTCTAAATTGTTTTTTCAGCATTGGTGAAATAGCTTTGTAGTATATCATATCTCTTCATTGCACAGACAAAAAGGAAGAAATTCCTTATGCTAAACAGTACAGCTCCATCTGCAAGAAGGGAAAAAGCTGTCAGTTACCCAGATTATTGAAGACCCTGCCTAAACCCTTCCCATCTGCTGATACACTGAGCAACAGAAGGATCATGCACTCCAAATCTAAAGAGGGAGAGGAATTAAGGCTAATTAAGGCTAACTGGGGAAGGAGACATTTACTAGCAAACAACCCCCAAGTATGGAGCTGAGCATTCTATATTAGTGACTATTGTTTTGCTCTCCCTAACATCTTGTTAACCTGACAGCTCCCTCTGTCCAGTCATACCACCAACATAGGCCAGGCTTTGCCTCCTATCCACAATGGAAAATGAAGCTTACCAGAGAAGTTAATTTCACTCTGAAATTTGCTGTGCTGGCCCTGTATACAACAGCTTGTCAGAGCACCATGGGAGAACAGGATGGGGAAGTGCACAAAGAGGAAAGGAGAGAAAAAGCTAGAGGGGAAGATGAAGGGTAAAAGAAGATGCAGCAGAGTGGGATAGTGGAGGAAGAAGAACAGGGAAGAGTAAGAGATCAGACTAGGCACTCCCCAACCTTCCCACATCTACTAACAGTGTGGCTATACCTCCCACCTTCAGATACTCATATAATCAGCCTTCCAATTTTTGCCAGAAACGTATGGGCCAGGTGAAAAAACTAGCCACTAATCAGGGGAGTGTTCTGTTCAAATACATATATCTGCTGTTTTGCTCAGCTATCTACTCTGGGTATATGTAACAAGTGGAGTAGGGAGCACTGATTTGTGTGACGGAGCAAGAAGAGTTTACCAGCAGTAAGCAGCTCTTCCATGAAGTTGGAAGAATTGGGGGTGGGTAGGAGAACTGACCAGATACCCATCAGGCTTGTAGCTATGACGTGGCAGATCTATAGAATGCCACCTTGTGGAATGTTCAGTCTTTTAACTTGAGCAGATGTACAGCTTAAGAAGTTGGAGTCCAGCTAAACAGCTGTCCAAGAAAGTCTTCAGCCAGAGAAGCCTTCATAAAAAAAAATAAAAGAAAAAAAATAGGTTCATCCTTTAATTTGGAATCAAGGGAGAGGAAACCAACAAAGGCTACCCAAAAGATACAGTTCTTCTTCGAGATCTGTTGCACATATCCATGCCAATTTAAGTGTGCAAGCACCCTGAGCACAGCTGTCGGAGATTTTTCCCCTAGTGGTATCCGTCGGCTTGGTGCTGGCACCCCCTGGTGCCACGTGCTCATAGCACCGGTATAAGGGGCCCCCGCCGAGCCCAAGCTCCTCGGTCCCTTCTGACTGCCCGTGCAGCTGTTGGAACTTCCCCTCTTTGTCTTGAGCAAAGTGGTTTAGTGGTTTCCACTATTTTTCATTGTAAATAGTTAGATTTTGATAGTTCAGTAGTTTCAGTACATTTAAGTAGTCATAGTTTAGGACTGGGACTCCTCTCTGTGCTTGGAGATGCGCTCTGTCCCTCCCCCGCTACTGGGACATGCCTCAGGCACCAGGGTTTAAACAGTGCTCTTCATGTGGCAAGCTTATGCCTACTAGTGACCCTCACTTGAGTTGTCCCAAGTGTTTGGGAGAATGTCATAGGAAAGAGCGCTGCAACATCCTCTGGGAACTTAAGCACACATGCAGAAAGACAGAGCAGCAAGGTTGAAAGTCCTACTTATGGAGTTGGTGTTGAGACCCGCCTTGGAGCAGAGATCAGACTTGGCACCGAGTATTTCAGCGTCAGTACAAAGTGCTCCGCTGGTGGCTAAGAGCTCTTGGCACTGGTCCTCCTCATTGGTACTGAAGAAGAAACATCGAGGCCACCGGGAGAAAACTTGCTTGCTGACACTGAAGGGAGACAAGCTAGCAGATTGGGATAGAGCGAGATCCATGCTGGGCCGCTCTCCATCCCCGGTATCGTGGCAACCACTGGCAGAGGCACCAGCGCCACAGATCCCATTAGCGCTCAACCAACCAGCTGGTTGGCACCGGGCAGACCAGTTTGCAGTGCTTTTGACCCCAGAAGCCTACACGGCTGCTATTGAGCTGATGACTTTGTCTATACCAAGCCCAGACGGGAGACAGGACGCAGCACCAATGGCGCCACTCAGTAGCGCCGCAGCATCAACCACCTTTAAGCCAGTTTCAAGACCTGCCTCCAGGGGGAAACTCCCTTCATTGCCTTGCCAGAGATGTCTCCACAGCACCGATCGGCCCCACCGTGGTCCTCCACCTCCACGTCATCTTCTTCATCGAGTCCGGACTCGGGATCCGACTATTCAAGACACCGGCACCAGAGGGAGACACTGCGTCAGCCCCCACAGACAGTGGTACCATTGGGCGTGCTGGGAGCAGGGATAACCCAAGGCGCCGGGCCCATGGCGTCTGGCACCCCTACAATGGGGCTTTTGGAACCTGTGGGGGCTTCCCCCAGGCCAAGGGACCAGCTCATGGTGCTCCTACTTGGTGCGCTCAGAGACTGTTGTGGCACCAGGGGCACACAGGGAAACTCTGAAGCCAACTCCCTGTACTGGTCCTGATGCCAGAGCGTGTCCCAGCACCATTGCCTAAGCAGGGATACTCCCTGGTACTGATGCCAGTATCAGAACCAATACCAGTACCCAAGTTCTTGTGCCTCAGGAAGAGGCTGCAGTGGACACTATGGCAGCGCACACCTCTTCTTCATCGTCTCAAGAGGACGAGCTCATGCTCAAGGGGCTCTCCCCGCTGCAGGATGACGTAAGGGCCCACCAAGACTTGTTAAAGTGGGTAGCCTCTAATCTTGGCAGGCAGAAGTTGTCAAGGAACCATCAGATGGGTTCCTAGACATTCTGTTGGCCGCAGCCCCTGCGAAGGTGGCCCTACCCTTACACAAATCCATTTTGGGACGTATTTAGGCCATTTGGCAGACTCCTGCCTCCATTCTACCCACAGCAAAGAGAACAGAAGGAAAATACTTTGTGCCCGCAAAAGACTGTGTGTTCTTGTTCTCTCATCCTTCTCTGGGGTCCCTCATTGTGGCGGCTGCCAACAAAAAGGACCGCAAAGGTCAGACAGGGTTTACTCCCAATCCAAAGGAGCCCAGGAAAATGGACCTTCTGGTTAGGAAGGCCTATTTGATGGGGGACTCCAGTTGAGGATAGCGAACCAGCAGGCATTGCTGGGTCGATATGATTACAACATGTGGGAAGTAATGAACAAAGTCAAAGACAAAGACAGACTTCCCCATGCTTGGTGGGGGCCCCTTATACCAGCGCTATGAATGCACTGCACCAGGGGGCACCAGCGCCAAGCCGACGGATACCACTAGGGGGAAAATCTCTGACAGCTGTGATCGGGGCACTCGCACACCTAAATCGGAATGGACATGGGCAACACATCTCGAAGAACAACAGTTACAAAAGGTAGGTAACTGTTTTTTAACGTAAAGCTAACTATGGATCTCAGTCCACAAGCTGTAGAGAAGAAATACCAACTGCAGTGCAAAGCAGAAAGATAAGAAAGGCAAACTGATGCAGGTAAAGTGGATTTTCTGATCCTCTATTTAGTATCCCAATTAACAGTAATCGCCATCTTACTTATATACTGCAGTGTTGTAAACGAACATGTCCCTGAGGTAAAACTTCATAGAAGTAGATCTGAAGAAAACTAGAATTTAATAGGCCAAATTCCCCCAGAACCATCTGCAGCACATGGTGCTAATAAGCACAATGAAAGGAGCAACCTAAGAACCTGTTCATCTAAAATCATCGGATTTTTAAAACCTTGTATCCTCAGGTTCTTTCTTACAGTCTACACTAACCATCTTCAAAAAAAAAAAATTGCATTCATGGGTAAGAATGTAAACTGGATTTTATCCTTCTAGATTCAGACTGCTTGCGGTTCTTTCAGTAAAGGGTAGCAGTATATATAGGTAGCACAAATAAGGAGGTTATGTAATATAGGCAGGAAACTTCAGGTCTATTCAAGATATGCCAGCTGCTGGTGGCCCCAAAAGGATCATTACAGTGATAGGGATTGCTGGAATGTAGTGGACTCTAGTCATCCCCTCTTTGACTCCTGGCATGCCAAGGCCTAGAAAGGGTGGCACAAAGCCACCAGTTAAGTCCCACACATCTCTTTGTTTGTTTACACAGGCTTTCCCAGCCCATTTGCGCTACCATAGAAGGGCAAAGGAGCCAAAACAGGATGGAAAATCTGGCCCATTGTATTTATTTAAAAGCAGAACCCTACATATTTAAAACAGTATGAGTCTATGTCGCTAAAATACCATGCAGCACATTAAAGAGCTTCCCCTACTATTTCAATGAAGTAAACTTCACTGAAAATGTGCAGTTACCCAATATCACTGTAAAAACAGGAATAAGGTATTAAAAGGAGATTCTGTGCAAAGTTTTATTGTGTACAAACTTACTTTTCAATGACTTAAAAAACGTAATAAAGTTTTTTTACGCCAAGGTTTAGTGCCCTTATACAACAGTTAAAGACATTTCATTTGATCTATGCTCAGCATCCATCTTTCAATACCTTAACCATGATGTTTTTCCATTTAGGTTTATTTAGCCCGAAAAGAAGGGTCATCCTCTGCTTACATCTGCTGGAAGTTTGAGTGTGGGTCAGTTGATCTAAAAATAGACAATGTTTCCATTAGAACGAACAGTCAGACGTTTCATAGTGGAAGAATAAGGTGGAGATTGCGCTCCAACATAGCAGAAGTTGATCTGACTGGAGGTAAGTGTGAAATCTGATTGATTTTATTTTTAAATCATGTGGTATAAGTGCTAATGCAAATGCAATGCACTAGTACGCAGGGAAGTGGAGGTGGGAGAAACAATGTAAGCAATAAAGACTTTTCCCACTCAGGCTTTTTGCCAAGGATAAGGCAATATGTGAGAACAATCAATATATAACTCCAACCTGCCACATTTTTCCATATTTGGGGAAAATAAAATTAGGATCCAGCAAAACCTGACGTGGATACAGGAGATATATGGGCTCTTCAAAGCAGGGATTGTCTTTATATTTGTACATCATGTAGCAGAATGGGGCACCCAATCCTGACTGGAGCCTCTGGAGACTACCACAATACAAATAAAAATAATAATTTGATTATCTGCAAGTCAAACACTTTAATGTTCATTACAAATTGCCTCTTGAGCATGTATTCTAGCAACATAAATGATCTGTGGCAGAACTTTAATTGTTTGGGGTTTTTTTCTCCCCCAACAGATAAAATTCTTCGCTCCTATTCAGATTTCTCTGATGCAACAGAAGTTATTTTGGAAGCTGAACTAAGTGGAGGGGATGGTGATATTGCATGGCAGCACACCCAGCTGTTTAGAGAGAGCTTAAGTAACTCTGGAGAAAATTGTTTGGAGATAATTATAAAACTCATTGGTCTCTGAGAATCTAAACAGAGGAGAAATGCTATTGGCAACAGGGATTTATTGTATAAAATATGCTGTGGATACAATGTGAGGACTTGATTGTCAATTACCATAGTTCATACCGCTGGCATTTCTTTTCCCATTTGCCAGTTTTAATTTGGCCATCATGAAAATAATAAATTTTATACTATGGACCATAGAGAAACATTGGAATTTTCAAGGTTTTATTTTTGTGTAAACTTATAGCAAATATGGAAATGCCAAAGTAAAAACGTGTTTCATCCAAAACATGGAAATTAAGGTATTCAGAGTTACAACTGATGCTCCATCCTAAACTTGCTTCATAGTGAGAGGGGGAAATAATGATGGGAAAGCAAAACTGAGTGAGGAACATACAGCAGTTTTAACTTTGAATTTGGGGGCTGGTTTGTTTCACAATCTCTGCTGTTATTTGGAGTTAAAATTTGCACTTAGTTGTCTGGTAGGCAGCATGTGTTATGTTGTTTTTAATTTTAAAAGACTTGTATAAAGGATAATATTAGCCCCTAACATCTCCAGTGGTTAAATCTACATACTATTTAGGCATTTTAAAAGATACAATATTATTTTACATGATACACCAGAAAAGGAGCTTTGGATAAATATTAAGGCAGTTTTTAAAGATGGCCTAGATATATGTGTGTATTGGTCTAAGTAATAAACATATTTTGCAGTATAATAGTATACTGGGTAATACATTTATGTGAAAGTCATGTTCAACATGTACCTAGAAATTCTGTTATGGTCTATCATGTAAAATAAAAATTTAAAATTGATTAAAAACACATAATTTTTATCCTGGAAAATGCCTAGTTTGTTATACATATTTTATACTGTATAAATCCATATTTATTCCTTTTTATTAAGTTGCTTATTGAGCTGATAGATCATAATCACTTTTTAAGAAGCTATTATCTTGTGTCAGTCTGAGTCACATGCACCAGATTTGGTGCTAGAAGTAGAATCATAGAATATCAGGGTTGGAAGGGACCTCAGATGGTCATCTAGTCCAACCCCCTGCTCAAAGCAGGACCAAGCCCCAGACAGATTTTTGCCCCAGATCCCTAAATGGCCCCCTCAAGGATTGAACTCACAACCCTGGGTTTAGCAGGCCAATGCTCAAACCACTGAGCTATGCCCCACATGAGGTGCTTTTTCCCCCCTTGATGCATAAAAATTTTCAGACCATAGAATTCAGTTTTTAACTTTTTGCCCCAAACACAACCAACACTACAATTCAGGAGATCAAACTTCGATTTTCAGTCCTGGTCTAGCTCCATGGCCTGTTGTGGGCTGGGAGTGCTGTGGATGCAGTATAAGGAGCCACTGGAGATTGATTGCTTGATTTCAACAGCCTCCATGAACTATTAAGAAATTGTGTAACTCTGTCTCCTTCTCCTCTCCCTCCCCAAACACACAATCAAACAAACATCTGAATGACTGTGTTGGGATTTTAAAAAGTGATGGACTACCTTATTACCTGTGTAGTTATGCAAACTAAGAAGAGACTTCAGGATTTAAACTGATCATTTGTGGGGGATTATGAAGAGATACTCTGCACTCCCTATGTAGAGAACACTTGAGCAACTCAACACAAGTGAAATGCACAGAATTGCACCTAACAGAACAATATTAATATACACACATATACTCCCAAGCACACCTATTACAATGTGACATCATGCCTTGATTAACCTGTAGCTTCAAAGAAAAAAAAAATCAAAAAGTTCTAATAGTGAGGAATAAAGTATAAGACAGAGCTAAAGGGTAATGAAATAGTCCATGTAGAAAAAGGGTTTGTACAGAAGATAGGAGACTTCGAAAGAACTAATTATCAAGTAGAATCAATTGAAAATACTCAAAAGAAGAAGGAATAAACTGAGAGTAGAATATTCTACATTCTGCTTGAACAGCGGGAGTAGTAAGAATTACAAAGCTATGAGGAAAACTAATAGCAATGAGGATCTTATCAGTACACAGTAAAGAGGGGAAATAAATTGATTATGTTTGTGGACATGTTACAAGACCATTTCTCTATAAATTATGGGCTTCAACTCCCATTGAAGTCAATGGCAAAGCTCCCATTGACTTTAATGGCACTGAATCAGGGCTTATTATAAGGAGGATTGAAAAGGGTTTGCAATGTTTTGTAACACGAAAGATGACTGGTGATATAGAAGTGATGAAGCATCCCTACATCAGTAACTAATAAAAAGCAGAAATATTCCTTTACTGCAGGATGATGCTCAGGCAAACCAAAAATCACAGTTTCCTATAAAACAGACCCATAACAGAATGGGTTTGGAGGACCAAGTGTATTTTGGAGGGAGCAAAGCCTCACAACCTCCTTCATCTACGGAGGCAGACATAATCCGCAGAAGACTGCATACTCCTCTGCAGGTCTCCATTCCCCTGGTGAGCAAGAGCAGTGCAGTGTCACTCACAAAGGGCACACACTGAGAGTTAATGTTGAGTTACAAGAAAATCCTCAGCTTTCCCTGATGTCATGAATTGTTTTTAAACAACCTTAAAGAGATTTGCAATCACAGGAGTTAGTAACTTTGAACTTGGAACCTATTGCTTCTTAGCCCTGCATTTAGTCCACATTTAACATAGCTTTTTCTCAAGGGGCATTAGTAAGAGGAGTAGCCTTCTCCCCATCAATTAAGATTGATATCATTGTGATTGTTAGCCAAAATGGCTGCCTTGGTATTTCTGTGAAAATTTTTGAATAATCTCAATAATAAAATGTATAGCTAGATGTGGATTTCACAACCTAATTTAAATTTTGGAGCTCTTAAAAAACCCCAAACATATACTTATTTTTACAGAAAAATTAATGTGAAGACTCACCTAGTGCAAAAATTAATTGGCAAAATTGTTTGCAGTGTTGTAACCATGTAAATTTAGTCAGTTTTTACCAGATCTTAATTATGAGATTTGAGGATAAAACAAGTAAAGAAAATGTTCATGCCATATATTCTACTAGAAGTCAATAAGCAAGAAAAGACTATCTAGTGATACTGGATAATAAAACTCTTACTACTATGTAATCTTTGCTGCCTTGATAGGGTTGTTATTGCAAGTCAGAAATTGATACACAGTCCTCTCTTTTCAATATCCTAAATTTTATTATTATATTTTATATCTATAGATCTAGATAATTAGGTTACTGAAAAGAGGGTTATTAGGAATTCCAGAAAACCCTAACCATACTTGGTAATTGGGTAAGCAGATAGTGGATCAGATTTAATATTAGTAAGATGAAAGTAATGCCTGCTCAGTTTTCACACACAATTTTGGACTCTGGGTTGGCCAGACCATCTCAGGTTAAAAACAGTGGCTATGGAGGGAGTCATCCACTCAAAGCAATGCAGCTTTTAATGTGCACTATTAAAATGTTTGAATGAAGTGAGGAGATTTAAAATATTGTAGTCCTCGTTAATCAACAATACATTTGCAACTCAAGTATTACTTTCATTTTGATTATAGCAATAGCAATCAGTAGAAATACTTATTTTAGGAAAGACTTGATGAGGGAAACCCAAAGATTAAATACAAGTAAAATACAAAAGTTACACCTCTACCTTGATATAACACTGTCCTTGGGAGCCAAAAAATCTTACCGCATTATAGGTGAAACCGCGTTATATAGAACTTGCTTTGATCCGGCAGAGTGCGTAGCCCCGCCTCTCCGGAGCACTGCTTTACTGCATTATATCAGAATTCGTGTTATATCAGGTCGCGTTATATCGGGGTAGAGGTGTATATTGAACTCCCTCTTGTGTCCCTGAAGTACCCTTTGTAAGGTAGAATAGGTTGAACTCTTTAGCAAATACATTCTTTTAAATGACCTCTTTTTCTGATCTCCATTTCAGTGCAGATCAATTTTTATTAAAAAGGCCATTTTTTTTTTTTACTTAAATGCCAGTTTCTTCCTGTGACAGCACTTGCTTTCTTTCATCAATGATTCCTTGACAAAACCTTATGCTAGAGTGGACTTAAAATATTGTAAGGTAAAAAGGTTCCATGCTGTGAAGTGCTTCAAAAGTATGGGTATCAATTTGTGACGACTGTGGTATGTGTTCTTGATTGAGTTAAATGGGGAAATTGTTAGGCCATGTGTAGATGGAAGTCACCATTTACATGGCTTTTTAAGAGTTTGGGGTGTGAACAGAAAAAAAAATACAGGTTCCAATGCTGCAAGGCCAAATCATAATATATGTAGGACCTCAACCTATTACAGACTCTATGTAATTGTGTACAAAAATGAATATATAGCTACATAGCGTACCTACACTGCCTTCAAAGCATCATGGAAATGTAACAAAAGTAATGTTTTCAAACAGGTTCTTCTGATAAGCACAAAAATAGCCAAATTAACACTTGCAACATAATTTTAAATGCCATTGCTACTCAAAGACTTACATGAGCAACCTGAATAGAAAGTCCCTCTCTCTTGGATAGTATTTGCCTTATTGGTATGACATATCTCTTTACAGCTGATCATAATATGTCTTTTTGTGTTAAAATACAATATTAACAAGGTTGGGCTGTGGAATTACCAGTCACTTGTGGCCACCAAAGAAATAACAAAAAGTAATATCTTGCATTGCTGTAAGTTCCTAGGATATCCGCATCTGATCCATGATCTGAAATCATGGTCCACGGATATCCACATCCGCCAATGTGGATATCCGCAGATTTGCAGGGCTCTACTTGCCAGGTGCACTGTACGTGAAGGGAGCCCATTGCAGGCAATAAGAAGATAAGAATCGCCACACTGGGTCAGACCAATGGTCCATCTAGCCAGTCTCCGACAGTGGCCAGAACCAGATGCTTCAGAGGGAATGAACAGAACAGGGCAATTTTCAGTGATCCATTTCTTGTCATCCAGCACCAGCTTCTGTCAGTTGAAGGTTGCATCCCTGACCATGTCAGCTAATAGCCATTGATGGACCTATCCTCTATGAGGTTATTTAATTATTTTTTTAACCCACTTGTATTTAGGTTGTCTGTGCATTGTGTGAAGAGGTACTTCTTTTTGTTTGTTTTAAACATTCTGCCTATTATTTCATTGGCTGACCCCTGGTTCTTGTGTTATGTGAAGGGGTAAATAATACTTCCTTATTCACTTTCTCCATACCATGATGATTTTGTAGACTTCTATATCATCCACCCTTAGTTGTCTCTTTTCTAAGATGGACAGCCTAAATCTTGTTTCTCTCTCCTAGCTGTTCTATACCCCTAATCATTTTTGTTGCCCTTCCCTGTACCTTTTCCAGTTCTAATATATCTTTTTTGAGATGGGGTGACTAGAACTGCATGCGGTATTCAAGGTGTGGGTGTCCTTCACTCGCTCCAGGACCTGCCGCTGAAATGTCCCGAAGATGTGGAGCGGAAGGATGTGGAGCGGGTGAATTTAAATAGGGGCATTATGATATTTTCTGATTTACTATCTATGCCTTTCCTAATGGTTCCTAACATTCTATTAGCTTTTTTGACTGCCACTGCATATTTTTCAGAGGACTGTCCACAATGACTCTCTTAAGTGTTAACAGCTCATTTAGACTACATCATTTTGTATGTATAGCTGGGATTATTTTTTCCACTGTACATTCATTTGCACATATCAATATTGAATTTCATCTGCAATTTTGTTCCCCAATCATCCAGAAGGAGACCTTCTCCCGTTGGTGTGGTTAATCCACCTCCACGGTAGCTATGTTGATGGGAGACATGCTTCTGTTGAAATAGCGCTGTCTACACTGGAGGTTAGGACAGTATAACTATGTCACTCAGGGGTGTGGATTTTTCACACCCCTGAGAGATGTAGTTATTCTGATGTAAATTTGTCATGTAGATGTGTCCTTAAATGCTCACATAGAGAAGCAGGCGGTCCTCTAAAGTAGAAATGACGCCTGCTGATCCTGAATGATGTTTTGTTGCCTTTACATATTAGGCAACAGTAAAAGCTTTTTCCACACATTGGTTCAGAATGAAATACACTCCAAATTCTGAACATCAGGAAATACAGAACACTGAAAATAAACTATGTTTGTCTCCTCAGTACAATGACATGAAAACAGGCACTCAGACTGTATGTACCCTCGCTGAAACCTGGAAACACCCATCAGCAGAGTTCTGACAACATGAAATGAAAACCAATGGAAATTCCCTTGAAGGCCAGTGATGAGGACAGTCAGCTACCAAGAGTCCCCCATCTCCCTCCCCGCCCACATTTGTGGCAGTGTTACTGTCTCCTGACAGATGTTCAGTTAATGTATTAGTAGATCATTAATGTGGACCAGCTTCCATATTGGAATTGTATAGCCTCATATTATAATAGGGTTAGGAGCGAAGGGTCTAAACTGTGGGTGAGGTTGAGAGAATAAAAATAGTCATTGTTGACTTGGCAGAAACCAAATCACAATATCTTTACTTAACACCTGCACTCAAAATGATGGAACAGGGATTGTATGCTAACTAGACAGATAATGAGAGGAACACCATCAACTCTCATCTAGCACTTTACAAATGCGGGTAAGTATCACCCCTATTTTAAAGATGAGGAAACTGAGGCACGTGTAGAAGTGATTTACGCAAATTCACACAGCATGTTAGTGGCAGCAGCAGTAGCAGAAACTGATCTGATGACCTAGCCTCTGAACGACATGGTCTAGTTCTCACACTGTGGTGACTTCTTATTACAGACAACAAAATACAATATACAACCAAACAAAATATCAAATTTGAGATGCTACCCTAGACTCCCTTAAATTCTCAAATTTTCTCACACTGCACAGTCAACCTGTGGAACTCCTAGCCAGAGGATGTTGTGAAGGCCAAGACTATAACAGGGTTCAAAAAAGAACTAGATAAATTCATGGAGGATAGATCCATCAATGGCTATTAGCTAGGATGGGCAGGGATGGTGTCCCTAGCCTCTGTTTGCCAGAAGCTGGGAAATGGGCAACAAGGAATGGATCACTTGATGATTACCTGTTCTGTTCATTCCCTCTGAAGCACCTGGCATTGGCCACTGTCGGAAGACAGGATACTGGGCTAGATGGACCTTTAGTCTGACCCAGTATAGCCGTCCTTATGTTAATATTCTTCATTAAAAGGTAAGGAGTTATGCATGCACAATGAGAGGTGAATGTAGCCTTCAATTCACCAGCTACACACACCAGTACATGGATGTCATGACTCAGAGATGAAAAATCTTAACACCAAAGAAGCCACAAAGTTAAAAGCCAGGTATCTGACAATTAGGTTCGCTCAGTGATGCAGCTGTGCAACTATAAGAGTTGGCATGTTACGGAAGGGTGACCAAGTTCTTTCTCAAACATGCTGAGTCAGAAGTTATAAACACAAAACAACTTTTCCTGGAGTCCTTCCATGATCACACTGTTATTTATTGTACAGTTTGCCATGCTGACTGAAGCACATCATCTCCATGATATATGGGAACCGTAGTGAGATCAGTGATGCAGAAAGAAACCCAGTGGAGATTTTACCCAGCTCCAAGTTACCGGTCATTGGTGAAGCTTGGTGTGCCAGAATATACCAGTATTCACACCCTATACGCTATTGTCAAAATTTTTGTACAAGCCATGTCTTGTGAGGTATCATTTAAAGACTCAATTTGCTGACCAGTAATATCATGATAAAATGCATGTAGCAGCATTATATTTGAAATTATAAAAATAAGCTGAAATCATGACTAAAAGTATGTTTTTCAGATAAGTCTGGGGAGTGGCTAAACCAGTTCCTCAGAGACAAAGGGCAAGCTGATGCCTCAGCCAGGTATAAACAAGGCTGATGGGCCATTACCTGCTAAGTGGCCATTCTTTGTCAGGAAAGGGAGTAGAAGCAAAAATCTACATCTTAGCAAAGAAACAGCATGGAGTTCCCTTCCACATAGACTGCCTGTCGTCATGCTTCAAGCTGAAAATGCTTCTCAGAGGGGTGACAGGACTACAAAAGAAGGGGCAGATACCCCTTTCTCCCTACCCATCACATTCGCTGCCCCTAAAAAGACAAAGAAAGCAGTCGGACTCTAGGGGAGGGGTTCTGACCTAAAGAGTTTGGTCAGTAAGACTGCTGAAAGCATGTGAAACTTTGCTTTGAATCCAATATAGTTAGGTGAGGCACAAGTAAGCATTTTATCTTTATTTCGCTTGTAACCAGTTCTGACTTTTATGCCTCATTATTTGTACTCACTTAAAATCTCTCTTTTTGTAGTAAATAAACTTTATGGTTTTATCTAATCCAGTGTGTTCAAGTTAGACTGTCTGGGTAACAAGTTGTATGCATATTACTCCCTTAAAGGAATAATGGACTTAATATAGTTATACTGTCCAGGAGAGGGCTGGGCAGTACAGGACATAAATTTCTGGGGGGAAATCTGGGACTAGGAGTGTGTTGTGGTCACCCTGTGGTAATCTTGTAGGCTGGTAAGAGCCGAGGTCTGGCTGGCTGACTGCAGCATACATAGTCACAGTTGGGAGCAACTTACATGGTGGAGGCTATAAGGAGTCCAGGTTGGAGGCTACAGTAGCAAGGCATTGTAAAGGGCACCCCAAGTGTCAGGGCAGGGGTGACACAGCTACACATTAGTCTGGATTGCATCCTGGTATGTATCATTTAGATTGAACTTTTTGTCTTTCAGCAAATAGAAAGGTATTTGACAATGAACAGAAATCAGAGAAAGGCACCATGTAGGAAAAAAACCCTGTGTCTTAGGGTACGTCTTCACTTACCAGAGGGACCGGCGGCAGGAAATCGATGTTCTGGTATCGATTTATCGCGTCTGGTTAAGACGCGATAAATCGATCCCGGATCGATCCCGGAAGTGCTCGCCGTCGACGCCGGTACTCCAGCTCACCGAGAGGAGTACGCGGCATCGACGGGGGAGCCTTCCTGCCGCGTCTGGACCCGCGGTAAGTTCGGACTAAGGTACTTCGAATTCAGCTACGTTATTAACGTAGCTGAATTTGCGTACCTTAGTCCGAAGTGGGGGCTTAGTGGGGACCAGGCCTAAGTCCACACTAGCTGGGGCATACATTTCTAATTCACACTAGAATGTTGTGCACTAATTGGCCTCTGTGGATCCTTTAACACACACTAAGGTGTTTTTAGTGCATGCCAACAGGGTCTATACAGGGCTGTTGGTGCACAATACGCAGGGCCGGCGCTTCCACTAGGCGACCCTATGCAATTGGCTAGGGTGGCAGGATTTGGGGGGCGGCATTTTGCTGCCCTCGGTGGAAATTTGGCGGCGGGGGGTCCTTCCCCTCCGGGTCTTCGGCGGCAGGTCCTTCACTCGCTCCAGGACCTGCCGCTGAAATGTCCCGAAGATGTGGAGCGGAAGGATCCCCGCCGCCGAAGACCCCAGGCCCCCTGAATGTTCAGAGAAGGAGCGCTGCCACCTAGGGCGACAAAAACCCTGGCGCCGCTCCTGGCAATATGGTGGTGCTCATTAAAATTTACACCCCAGCTTCAGTGGACTAACGCATCAAGATAGAAGCCCAAAGGACGGACACACACACACACACCACCCCCCCAAACAAACAAAAACAGCACACACTGAAAAGGAGAACACAAAGCAAAGAAAAGATATTCAGAGGGACATAGAAAAGTCATTCCAGAAAGACAACCTTTAGACTTGATCATGCAAGATCTGGAGCACCCTGAACTATCCTGGTCAGCAGCTTGCAGGATAAGGCCTTTAAACAGAAAAGAAATCACCCTACTTCACCACTACCCTTCCTAAAGATAAAAGACAACACAGAAAAAGTAGTTTGTGTGGGTTGAACACCCCACAACTCAGGTTAATATGAGTCAAAGGGGGCCAATTAATCTTATATGCTACACCTGGAGGGAATCCAGGGATTGATAAACACTAACTGCAGATGAAGCCCAGCTGGGGGAGTATAAAAGCGAGAAGGAAGAAGTTCCAGGGAGATCTACAATCAAACCCTAGAGGGCAAGGGAGTTGGCCAGGGACAATGAGGAAGACCGAGAGAGAGTAAGCCCTGGGGTCCTGCCCTGGAATAGGGAGTCTTACAAAAGGCCTAGAGGGTGCAGTAGGTATGGGGGGATGGAGGAAGCACCAGCGGTAAACCCAGAGATAGTCAAGGAGACAGCTGTGGGGTAGGAAGGAGCCCAACGCACAACAACTGAGACTGAGCAAACCTAGGTTGCTAAGCATAGGTCCCTTGCTGGAACCTGAAGTAGCAGGCAGGCCTGGGTTCCCCTGTCAGTTACTGGGAAAGTGACATAGGACCTGCAGTCAGAACAACAGACTGCCTGAAACAGCATTGGACAGCTTATCCAGTGGGACTTTATCTTAGAAGGAGGGGACTGTATAGTGACCTGTCTGGAGGGCCAAGTCATTATGAGGGCACACCCTGCATCACACAGAGAGAAGGGTGACAGTGCATGCAACTACTAGAAAGGGGTGCCCGATGTGGCATAAGCTAATTCCCAGATCCAGCCACAAGGAGGCACACCTCACATAATGCCCATTGTAGATTATGCCATCTAGTATGAAAATAAACCGTGTTGTTTTATGTATGTTACTAAAGATGTTCTAAAGTGTTTTTGGTTTGAGTGTTTTGTTTGTTGAGAACTTGCTGCCTACGTCTTTGTAGAGCAACTCCCATAAGGGTAGTAATGGTTTATGCAGCTCTAGCATGAGTAAACAAAACGTAAAATGACAGACTGGAATTCCCAAAAGAAATATCAGAGAAAAAGAGGTTGGGGGACTGTTTCCTGTAGCTGATTACATTCAAAAGTTGTTGAAAATCAAATGGCAAACTGACATGACAACCGATTTTTGTTCAGCAAAGTAAGTCAGTACTCCAACTCTCTCAGGCAGGAAAGGAAATTAATGTCATGGCACCCTACAAAGAAAACCACTATGCATATAAATGAAACAGTTCAAGTCCAATGACTTTTTACGTTTTTTGGTATGAAAAGCTATTGTGACTGAAATCAGTAATTCAATGTAAAAGTATTTGACCATTCACCAAGGATCAAAACCTAAGGATCTTATTT